AAGGAGAATTAGATTAAAGTTGGAATGTTCAAGTCAAATTCATCTTATGTATGGTACGCTTCAGACCAGTACGAAGCAATCAGACAGAATTGTCTTGTAAACATCAGTGAAAACAACTAAAAATCAAAAAAACACTGTGAGTTATACAGATGTGTGTCATGCAACGGATGACCGTAAAATGAAATTTGTTGCTTCCTGTTCCCCTTCAGGGATCGTTGGGAGACGCATTCCCTCATGAATAGATACCGAGGAGGATGAAACCAGAAACTATAGAAAGGATGAACTCCGCTATTGGTTCGACTCCGAAGCCGTTATGCCTGATCATCGCTGCTAATTATAGACAGTGATTCGTGTGAACTGATGTAAACTTTACCAACTTTTTTTAAACTCAACGACATGAACTGCCCTCGAGAAATTTGCAATTCTTTTTTTGTACAAAATCGAGCACTCTAATATTTCACATGCTCGTATTGAATCAGCAAAATGTGAGTTACGTAGAAGCGCAGAACATGCTTTTGCATAAAAGAGTAGCTATTCGCTGCACCTACGCTTCAATTTCCACCAGAAATGTAATGTGACTTGACTGCTGATCGAAGCAGATACAGTTACCTCGCGGACCAGTTACATAGAGCTTTTCTATTCCTGGGCTGATTGGCCGGTCCCGACTTGTTTAGCTTGTGAAACTATCGGTGCTGTATCTCCGGGCCATACATCTGACAATGCTCCTCTTGCTGCTGCCCCTTGTCTGTCTCAAAGTAGTCAATTACGAGTAAGCAGCAATGACGTAACCTCATGGGGCTACATTTAGAAAAGCACAGAAAGCGGTCGAACATACGCACTTTCAACTATTTACTCAGTCGCCGACAAAGCAATACGCGTAAAATGATTTGCCTACGTTGGACTGCTGCAACAGGTTTGTGGATTCTTCAATTGAAAAGTCATTCGCACGTCCGGAAGTAGCGTAAAATACGTGCTCTTTTCAGCCACATTTTCAGAACTTTGTGTTTACGGTGGACAGTGAGGTCATGATCGAGAAGATACTAACCATCAGCGTTACGTGGCTAAACGGACCATAACAACTTTAACCGCCGTTGTCAACATACCTATTAGGGTCACTTGCTACATTAATAGCTTCTTGTGGTGATCAGAGCAACCGGTGTGTGGATTATACGCGAGTGTAAACGTAGACTGAACAAGAGAAAAAGTCGTACGATTAGCGTTTGGGAGCGGGCGACATCAATCTCGAAACTGCAGCCCATGCCCTTCTATACATAACTGGTTCTTCTCGTTATTTGCCCGGCACAGGACTATATATGCCTACGCGCAAGTGCATCTACCAATACCCTGACGACGAAACAACAGTTAACGTTGCAGTGGGAGTCATCCAAACATTGCGAAGCTTTTGGACTGGCGTGATACTCTCCTAAGTCGTCCGCGATAAAATTAAAAAACTTCGTTGATTATTGAGATGCGTCATGGGTAGATTGGCCCTTCACGATGATGCTTCTGCGTGATTTTCTGTTGAAATGAACATAAACATGCTACATATACTTCATATCCTAAAGGGTCCATCAGGAAAGAGTTAATGTATCCGTCACCAGTCCCGCGGGGGCGGCCCTATAGAATTTCTGAATTTGTATGCAAAGGGAGTAGGCTGCATAAATTGCCTTTGAAGGAAGTGTAAAACTAATGCAGTATTGTAAGAGATGGTGAAAATATTAGTCAACAAGTTTTCAACTGCTTTTCCAGTGAAAGTCACTGAGACAACCAGAGGATCAAAATGGTCACAACATTCACGTGCTGATAAGGACGTATATAAGCCAGAATCATTCGAGAAGTCAGACTGTGCTTATAGCTTCCGCAATTTTACAGGTGGATCCCTTACAATCGGCACTTAACATCAATTCACATCGTTGTTGAGAGATTTTTTACTAGCGGATGAACTGAAGTGATGGATGCTGAGAGATTTTGTCTTAGGGATGTTAAGGCATGCTACACGGCGAATACCAGAACGTTTATCCTGTTGTCTTCAATTTTGGGTGGCAAGAAATCTTTCAGAAAAGGAAAACTTGGTTCTCCTCTACCCTTTTTTGTACACCAACGCAGCAACGCCAATGACTAGGCAACATGATTTCATTTCAGGACCCTTTGCACCCTATGCGATATGCTTCTAGTGGTGATTGTAAAACGTAAGAGCTTTCGAAAAATTCCTATTTTCACCTCACTCAAAAGGAAGTGCATCCCTTACCCTTCAATGTCACGATAAGATTCAGTGTGATGTCCAGTTATTTTCACATGTTGTTAGCTTTGATCTTCACTATATCCTTCTTCTCATCCGTACCATTTGAGATTCAGATAGAATCATCCGTTACAAAGCCCTTCGAGTATTTCGCGATGATCGGTTTTTAACGTTCTTTGTAAAGCTTTCTTAGTTCTTTGCATTTACGCTTCCCACGCACTCGATGTTGTTCTAAGCAGAAGTTCAATTTTCAGAAACAACGTGTGACCAAATTTACACATGCACTTTCAAATGACCTCATCACCTTCTGTCACTCACCACCCTATCTCCTTTTCATCTCCTCAAGCGTAGTGAGCACAATATCGAGTTTATAAAAGTCGCAGCTATGCAGTAACACTTCCTTTTTGGGAACTCCCTCAGGTCGCTATCAGTTATCGACTTCTGTTACTAATCGTATATATACTATGCACCCCACGTCACACGTCAGATCAGCAAAGCTCCCGTGGTGGAAGAAAAAGCGTGACGGATCCAGAGCCTCTTACGTTCTAGGGCACCTGTCAAATATTCCCTTTCGGTATCGCTAGATAATATTTCACGCCATTTTCGATCCACTCACATCCCATATGCAGACTACAAAATGAAGCTAGTTACAAGGGGAGGTTCCCAAGTCGAAACGGCTGTTTGAAATAAATCTTATTTTTATGGAAAACCCAAATGCGCGCATGCATCAAAGACCGAAACTCCCATGTCAGGCTTACAGGTCCACCGTTCCACCGGCTGCATCAAAGCCACACAGTTACCGTTGGCGGTCCAGCTGCGCCACCGCTGCACAACAATACCTTTTCTCGTTTCGGTTACCTTATTGGTAGAGTGGTATAATACTCTACCCTCACTGATAGAATAAATACGCCCTCCTACAATGAACAATCAAAATTATGTTTCGAAATTTCCAGCATCTCCAGCACTTACGGTAGGGGCGATCGAATGACTCATCTAACCAAACCCTCTTTTGATGGAGTACGGTCCTCATATTCGAGGAACATTGTCCTCAACCGCACTTTCGAAGCGCTGGTAAAAGTCAACTGTGATCTAAAGAAAGTTGCTGTGGAGCAATAGTTGATCAATTTATGTGCACATATGATATTCCACTGTCGAGAAACCCTTTCTTGAAGTAAACGTCGAGATGTGATGGAGTGATACGACCACCAGACTCAGACTCACCTACAACTTGCTTTAAAGTTGGGCTCTATGAGACCTTTATTGTAGATGTTATCAAGTTGAGTGCGTAGCGGACTTAAAGATGCTTCTGTAAAGAAACACAGAGAGCAATCAGTTCCGTAACTTTGTTTCCAGAATCGTTTAGCAATTTTGGAGAACAGCTTTGAGATCAGCGTTTGAAACCACCTACGGCGGTAGGCATCTTACCTTAAGCGGCCTCTGCGACCGAGATCCTTCTCTCGTAAGTTCGAGCGAAACATGGCAGTGGTTCTATTGGAGTATTTGGAGTGGAATTTCATAGTCCTTGCGATTGACACTCATTTCACACTAGTGCTTTTATATCTGGTTTCAAGTTTTACTATTTGCTACACTTCGTCTTTCTTTTTGCATGATTACGTGTTACCTTCTCGTGTTGCTTGTTTTTGCTCGACTAGTTGAGTTGTTTGTGACTACTGTCTATAAAATGTCACCTCCGTAGACTGTGTTTGTCTTGGCAGCGTAATAAACATAAACATAAACAGTCAGGAGGTTTTGTTCAAGGCACCCCACTTTCCTGTGCATGTCCCGCCCCCGTAAGTGGAGATCCTCTCACATGCGCTCTATTGATCTTGCCCTATGGAAAAACCATCCCAAACTTGACTCGACCTCTTCAGGTTCTTCTTCCGGTGATATGGAATTCGTGACAAGCACACATATGCGAGCTCGTTATAAGCAGCTAGACCACTTTACGTACAAATTGAAGCACATCCAAGCGGCAAGACTAGGTCGCAGCCGTCAATTGCCTGAGGTCCCCACAAGAACTAATCCTACAACGGCAACGATTTCGAAATCAGGATTGAAGTCTTCGAGCCTGAAACACAAAAAGAGAAAGACCCTGGATGGGTTTTGGATCCACACCCCGGATCTGAAAATGAAGCAAAAAGGGAATGCCTGCCGAGTACGCGCGAACTCATCCCTATCTAAGATTGAGGTTCGGAGTAGGCTTCTAAATCTAAATAGACGATTCCACCACCACTCACGAAGACCGATTCAGTCCGTCAGGAAAATGAAGTACAACAATTCAAATAAAATTGTGTGATGTTTAGCTTGATCCCGAAGGTCTCGCCGTGTGTTCACATGTTTCGTTGGGAGAATCTCACGAGTCGATTCAATACCTTCACGTTCCAAAAAAGGCGAATTCGTTCGCAATATTACCCAAAAGGGCAGCTGCCAACCTCATATGGAATAGTGTTGTGAGAGAAGATCAAATAAGATATCAAACGACATCAGATTGATATAAAGCAATGTCAGCGACCTCCTCTCATCGACTTCTTCCCTTCTGCCACTGTAATGTGATGGTAGATGGTTAACGCGTTCCTCGCAAAGTGATCACAAAAAATAGCAGATCGTCGTTGATCAGTGATCACAAGATCAGATCACTAATCAACGCTTGAAATTAAAACCTTGTTCCTTGACAATGACTTAGCGTTACGGAAGTTAGCGGAAGCAGTATTGGTCCGCATTATCCTGATCTATGAATTTCAGGGAAAGTGTACTTGGACTTCTATAATACCGACTTTTTGAACTTCCTCATGGTGACATTGATGGCTCCACATGCACTGTCTAGTTGGGCCACAATAGCATCTTCAACAAGGTCAAAACTGAAAACATTCAAAGTTAAGAGTTTTGAACGATTTAATCTACAATCTTTTGAATAAATATATTTACCCTTCTCCACTCCGAAGAGGGATTTCAAGCAACTCTCGAACGAAGAGCCTGGAGAAGCACTTGTCAGGATCATCGTATTTGAAAACATGGAGGTTAGAAAGGCGATCCGATACAAGCCTAGCTTCAGACGGTATGCGCCACAGTTCAAGCCGCTCCGAACCCAACAGATCCACCTCAAATACACTATGAAATGATCCTATTATATATAACGCGCTAATTTCTGTGTGTTTGTGTATAAGTGTTTGTGACGGACCAGAAATCAATTACTCTTTTCCCCCTGGACCCAAAGCGTTCAAACATAGTAGGAGAACGGGGTAGCAGCACATACGTGCATACATACATACATACATACATACATACATACATGTATACATACATATATACATACATGCAAACAAACAAACAAACAAACAAACAAACAAACAAACAAAGATTCCCTTTTCTTGCTAAAAAAAGAGTAGTTCGTATCAGCCCTAAATGGAGTGGTGCAAATCGACGCTGGCCAAAATCTGTTACCATTATTCATCGCTGAGTTCACAGCATGTTCCACTACCTCTATCCATTCCCCCGGAGTTGGCTCACTGTACTACTCAGGTGACAAATCTGCGATTTATCGGTCAGTCACACGACAGATCGATATGGCAGATCGATGTAGGGGCAAACCTCGTGTAAACCTAGCTCAAGGAAACGCCCATGTCTGATGGGAGCAGAGCTGTGAATTAACGATGCACAATCTACAAAGGCTCTGCGAAAGAACTATCGGTTTCGGTTCCCTCCTCTCCCCTCCCCCAAGTCCATCCTGCCACTTGCCATTGGTGTTCTCATCTTACTGCCTGTGTTCCTTCCTGATAGGAGAGCTCTAGCTCTGAGGGAACAATTTTCGTACGCGCCCCGCATCCAGCGGGAGGAATCTACAGTTGCTACTCGCCATTTGTGTTAACATACTACCACCTGCGCTACAGGTAAGGCAACGGACTCGCACACAAGGCACGAGGGCTTGCACCCTGTGTGCGTGGACGTGTTTTGTATTCTTACCACTAGATCTGCCCTCGCTCGCGCGTGCAAATCACTATGTGATCCTTATCGGTTAATGCGATCAATACAGTATCAATAGTCTTCTTATTTCGTAACATGTCCCTCATCCATGTCAAAATGCGCCCACGTGACTTTCACAATCCTCATCGTGCCTACGTGACTTTCTGCGGGCGGACGCACAAACCTCCATGCAAACAGCCACACAAAGTTACCGCTTTATCTCTCAAGTTACCGCTTTAACGCACAAAAGTCTTCGGCCATACGCTCTTACTCTTTTCGTTCATAACTTTTTTTCTTAGTGCAGCAAATCGCGCGAAATTCGATGTTAACTAAAGCATATTTCGCACTATATGACACTATTTGAATGCAAAACAGCAATAACTAGAAACTAATGGAAGGTGTTTTTTGTGGTGGCAAATTTCTCTAAAAGCGACGTTATCGACATCTGCAGTTACTCGCACCTTACGTGCATTTTCCTCATCTATTATGTTCAGCATTAGCGCTCATACCCTTTAACATGGCAGAGAGGAAAGAAGAATTTTCAGAAGTACCATCATTCGTATCACCACTTAATTTTGAGTTCAAGCCCTTTGGGATATCCGGAACATGATCAGATTGCAGGTTGATAGTGGTAGGTATTCACAATACACACATGCTACACATTAAATTTCGCATGATTCCATCAAGTAGGAAGGAGTTACGACTGAAGAGTACGACTGAAGAAGCATTTGGCCAAGGCTCTTGAGCGATACTGTATACAGAGAGATAAATGTATGTCAAATTCCTGCAAATCTCCCTTGTACATCTCCCGTTGACAATGTTCAGCGCAACCTAGCCATAAGGGTCCAAGAAAATTTTTGCTGGGTGAAGCATACTCCTGACCTTTCAGACCCGAAGGTTGTTGCTCCTGGGCATAACAGAGATCAAATACGAGATTTTGAAACTCTAGACTGCCTCCTGCACTGAGGCTAAAAAACAATTGAGTTGGCATATCGGGGCGCAACATTTTGGATGAAAATTCTCTCAACCTTTGAAGCGTTTCTGAGGCATACCGCTCTTACAATATCGGACGGATGACGTGATTCGTGATGCAAAATGATGTTATAATCAATGGGCACTCCATGGCCACACGTGAAATCAAAATTCAAAGCGTTTAAAACAGCACTAATTTTTTCATAGCGAAGACAATGCGTGAGAAAGGCCCGTCGCACTCATCATTGTTACCGCTTCCGTGAAGGTGAAATGAGTAGCAGCCTTGTCGGGGTTTGAGATACGCCAAGATGAAAATTTACAGTCTTTTGCGATTTCTGTCGAATTTCGCTAATGGTATTCGGCAATAACTGAGCACAATTCGCACTTCTTGAATGAAGTTTTTTGAACAACTTTTCTCAACCAATGAAAGGTAAGAGGCCTGGATTGCAAAGGCAGTGCTTAATGCTTGCTTATAGAATATGAAATCCCATCAGATAGCACACATTTTGTTAATTTCCAAGCAGTTATTCATTATTCCTTGTGAGATCTCGAAAACGTATCAAGTGTTCCTTCTCCGCTGTCATCTAAAGGCTGGATAGGATTACTACAGGGTGCGTCAAAATTGCAGCGACGAGGTATTTGAATCGTCTCGAACAACTCGTTTACATTTTTAGCGAACTTCCAATGCAACAATGTTTATTGTTCACTTCAAAATTAAAAACATTCTATATATCTCGAAAATTCCTCCGTTGGCCTCGACGCAAGCCTTGAGATGCTCAGAGAAAGCATCGACGGTAGCACGCAAGTATCGCACGCTGTGCTTTTCCCAAGTCTTCTCAAGAGCTCTCTTCAGCGAATCCACAGGGCGATGGGGTTCCGAGCGAGTCTCTGCCTCCAGAACGGCCCACACACTGTAGTCCATGGGATTCAAGCTCGGAGAGCAAGCCGGAGCAAGTTTTCCTTGCACCACTGTTGCACCGTAGTCGACCTGTGAGCGGGGGCTCCATCCTTCTGGAAGGTCCAGAAGCGGGCCATAATGTGAGAATTAGTCCAGGGGAGCAGTTTCTGCTTCAAAAGGTCCAGATAGTTTCGGCTATTCACTTTAGTCCTTTCGGGAACGAACCACAGTGGTGACTTGCCATCAGCCGTGATTCCAGCAAAAACCATGACGGAAACAGGATGACAGTCGCGTGCGGATATGAAGCAGCAGAGACGCGGTCGTTCCGCTGGCTGACCACCTGTTCTGCTGTGAACAACTTCTCATCCATTAAGAGAATCCTTAAATGTCGTCTATTCCCAAATCTTCTGAACAGCTCACTCGTTCGTTTCTTCCTCACTTCTTTCTCAACATCGATGAGTTTTTGACATTTATTTTTCTTGTACGCCTTCAATCTTAGCTTGCTTACTATTCTTCTCAGCGG